TTTTTTTTTTTTTTTTTTTGAGATATAGTCTCAAGCTGTTGCCCTGGGTAGAGTGCTATGGCGTCATAGCTCATAGCAACCTCCAACTTGTGCTCAAGTGATCCTCTTGCCTCAGTTTTTCTATTTGTAGTAGAGATGGGGTCTCATTTTCTCAGGCTGGTGCCAAACTCATGAGCTCAAGAGATCCACCCACCTTAGCCTTCCAGAGTGCTAGGATTACAGGCATGGGCCACTGCACCTGGCCTTAATGTGGGATTTTCTTTGCTATAAGGGCTATATTGGCAATAGTTGGAGAAATTAAGATAAACACTATAGATAATACTAGTTTATTAATATATATTTTTTCTTTTTAGAGACAGAGTCTTACTATGTTGCCCTCAGTAGAGTGTGGTGGCGTCACAGCTCACAGCAATCTTGGGCTTAGGCGATTCTCTTGCCTCAGGCTCCCGAGTAGCTGGGACTACAGGCACCTGCTGTGACGCCTGGCTGTTTTTTGTTGCAGTTTATCTGGGGCTGGGTTTGAACCCATTACCCTTGGTATATGAGGCTGACGCCCTACTCACTGAGCCGTAGGTGCCACCTTATTTTATTAATATTAATAATTTTGATAAATATTCTGTGGTCCTATAAGAATTCCCCCCCCCCCCAGTTTTGGCCAGGGCTGAGTTTGAACCCACCACCTCTGGCACATGTGGCCAGTGCCCTACTCCTTTGAGCCACAGGCGCTGCCTGTTCCTATTAGATTTTTTTTAAAGGAAATACTGAAGTATTAAGGAACAAAAAGGAATCATGCCTGCAACTTTCAAATGGTTCAGAAAAGGATATGTATGTGTGCATAAAAGAGAAAAAAATAAAGCAGACGTGGCAAAATATTAACATTTGGGGAATCTGCTCTACCGGAATTCATTATAACTATTTTTATAACTTTTTTAAGAACCTGAAATTATGTCAAAAAAAATTAAAAGTAAAGTGCCATGCTATAAAAGAAGAGATAAATTGATAAATTGAACTATTTTATAATTAGGAACTTCCTCAAAGATAGTATTAAGAGCGGAAATGCAAACCATGGAGTTGAAAAAGATAATTGCAACATCTGTATTTGACAAATGACTGGTATCCAGAATATTACCATGTCTACAAATCAAAATCATAACACTTTGTAAGAGAAAATCTAAATGATGAGGAAACATGAAAAGGAACTTTAACTTATTAATAATCACAAAAATGCAAAATGAAATCAGAAGAAACCATTATACTACCTAACAGATTTATACAAAATCAGTAAGTTTTATATGTCTGGTGATGGCAAGGAAGTCCAGGAGTGGGAATTCTTATGGACAGCTAGTGAGAGTATAAACTGGCACAACTACTATGGAAATAATTTAACATTATATAACAAAACTTAAGATCTGTATACCCTAGGCCGGGCAGGGTGGCTTACACCTGTAATCCTAGCAGAACAATAAATATTTTAATTATTTTGTTTGACACTCTGGGAAGCCAAGACAGGTGGATTGCCTGAACTCAGGAGTTTGAGACCAGCCTGAGCAAGACTGAGACCCCGTCTCTACTAAAGATAGAAACATTACCCAGGCATTTTGGTAGGTACCTGTAGTTGCAGCTTTTAGGGAGACTGAGGCAGGAGAATTACTTGAGCCCAAGAATTTGAGGTTGATGTGAGCTATTATGCCATGGCACTCTACCTAGGGTGACAGAGAGAGAATGTGTCTCAAAAAAAAAATTTTAGTCAGCTGTGTGGACTGGTAAACTGTTCTTCTCTTTGTGTTATATTCATTAAAACTGGCTTGCATGAGAACCTCATTGACTGCCCTGGCTCTGTATACATAAAACCTTTTTGGTTCAGTGCCTTTCCCCTCTTACTGTATTTCTTGCTGTTTCTCAGTTGGATGTCCAAGAAGTACATTATGGCCCAGTTCACTTTTTTAAGCCAGGCCACATCATAGATTACTGGTCATCCTATAGCTTTTGGTATTAAATTCTTTTTTTTTTTTTTTTTGAGACAGAGTCTCACTCTGTTGCCCTAAGTAGAGTGCTGTGCCATCAGCAACCTCAAACTTGTGGGCTCAGGAGATCCTCTTGCCTCAGTTTTTCAATTTTTAGTAGAGACAGGGTCTTGCTTTTGCTCGGGCTGGTCTCAAAACTCCTGAGCTCAAGCAATGTGCCCACTTCGGCCTCCAGAGTGCTAGGATTACAGGCATGAGCCACTGCATCCACTGGTATTAAATTTTTAACCTTTAGAATAAAGTGTCAACCCCTGGTCCAATCAGTTGTATGCTCTGAATGTTGGTCATGTGATCTCCAGCGCTGTGCTCTCAGAAGGACCGTGGGTGGGGCAGTTTTGGCTAGGAAAGGCCTGTGACTAACATAAGCAATATACTTGACATGATAAAGCATAATTTCCCAGTATATGATGTTTAGGTTGTTCTCATTTTTCATTACTTTATATAATGCTGCAGCATACATCTTAGTACTAATTTTAATCTTTGTTTACATGTCTGCATATTTTCTTAGGATAGAGTCTAAAAAATAGACTTAATGAATCAATGTACTATACAGTTTTTTTGTACTTTCTTAATTCATATTACCAAATTGTTTTCCAGAAAAGTTTTTTCATAGTGCACTAGGTATACCATACTCTTGCTTGTTGCTTTTTGCTGTTCTTCATTACAAGTTGAGCAAAAAGTGCATTTAGCTATCAGAAGCCTTACTCTTTCTAGGTATGTCTTTTGGGTCCCAAGCGATCACATATAACTTTAGTAATTATATCCCTATATAATCCTGTTTTGCTTGCTTTCCATCCTAGCATTCTCATTGCATTCTAATATCATGGCCAATTCCACATTTTCTTAGAAGCCCTGCTCTGGATATTACCAATATTTGTACCAGTTTTGGTTCTAGTCAAGGAAGAGACAGATGTACTGAAGTAAAAGCAAGGTTTATGGTAGGGTGCGCAATAAACCGTCAAAAAAGGGCGATTGGGCTTCAGAGAGAGATTGGAACAAGAAAGCTGGTAGAATCAACTGCCTTCTCTTAGGGATTTTATGTACTTGTTTTCTTGTGGGCTCTTGTCTTTGGGCATCTGATCCATTTGCTTCTGAAACTGGTAAGTTTAGCTTCAATTTGCAAAAGGTTCTTAATCACTGACTTGTTGCTGAATATGCATCCCTTTTCAGCTCAACACCTTCTGCTGACTCTGAGTCTTTTGGTTTGAAGTCCCCAGAGTGGACTTTGATTGGCTTAGTTTCTTTTGCAGTTGGCTTCTGGCCACTGGCCATTATTCTGGACCCTCCTCCAATCCCACCAGCTGTGAGTAAGAGAAAATTGACAAGATAGAGAAAGTATTGGGTGCGCTTACCTGGAGTTCTATGTGAAATAGTACACATTGGATTATTTAATCTTTTAGGGGCTTTTTGGAAACAAATTTGTGCACACTTAACAGGATTATAGCTTAAAGTTGAAAAGGGTCTCAAGTGATGTAGTCAAAATCTCTCATTTGGCTAATGAAGGAAGTGTCTATAGAAATGTTATTGTTTCCTCATAGTGAAAGTCAGTGTTAGCACCTCTAGGTTCTCAGGAATGTATTCTTTCTATCACATTGCTGATATTAGAAATTTAATTACAATGAAATATTAATCATATTTTTTAAGCAGACTTTTTGTGAACACTGTTATGATCATTTTCTCAAAATAGCAACATTTATGTTAAATGGTTTTCTGGAAGTTTCTAGCAGTTACAAAACAATTTGAAGTTGTCATAAATGTTGCCTATTAATATTGCTATGTATTATATAATGTGCTACTTAAAACTCTTTCATATGTTAAAATGTATTGAGAACAAATTAAGAAAAAATACGGGGTCACAAAATATTTTTTCTATAATTTTACACTTTTTTGAGACAGACTGTCACTCTATCACACAGATTGGAGTGCAGTGGCATGATCACAGCTCACTGCAACATCTGACTCCTGGGCTTAGGTAATCCTCCTAGGTCAGGCTTCTGCGAAGCTAGAACTATAGCTGTGTGTGATGATGCTCTGCTAATTTTTGTAAAAAAAATTTTATTTTTTTGATCTTTTTGTAGTTCATAAGCATGATGATTGGGTTGTCATGCGCATGCTTGAGATATGCCTCCCACAAATCTTGTTATGATATCGGCATATTACCTGTCTGACATGAAAAAAAAATTTTATTTTTTGTAGAGGTAGGATCTTACTATGTTTCCTAGGTTGGTCTTGACTTCCTGGCCTCAGGAGGATCCTCCTGCTTTGGTCTCCCAAAGTGCTGATATTACAGAAGTAGTCATTTTAAAAAGTAGTATTTTGGGCGGCACCTGTGGCTCAATGAGTGGGATGCTGGCCCCATATACCGACGGTGGTGGGTTTGAACCTGGCCCCGGCCAAACTGCAACAACAACAACAACAAAAATAGCTGGGCATTGTGGCAGGTGCCTGTAGTCCCAGCTACTCAGGAGGCTAAGGCAAGAGAATCATATAAGCCCAAGAGCTGGAGGTTGCTGTGAGCTGTAACGCCACTCCATTCTACCGAGGGCAATAAAGTGAAACTCTGTCTCTAAAAAAAAAAAAGTAGTATTTTACTTCATTATTTTTTATGAGGCTAATTGTTATATACTCCATGCTTCTGAGAAAAAATTTGAATTCAAAAGGGTGATTCTAGGTTTTTGTATGTGTTGACCACTCTGTGGAGCCTATTTTTATAGTTTTACTATGATTTCGTTCAGAAATTTTTGATATTTTAAATGGTTTATTCACATTGATGTATAAAATATTTATAAGAGATGATTTTTGGTTTTCACTTCTAGGCCTACCTTTTAAAGAGAGTGCAGGCAAGCTTGAGATAGAGCTGGTTTTGTAATGGTTAATTAGAGCAAATTAATTATTGTATATTTTGCTTTTCAAGGTCTCATTTTCTTTTCATATATCAGTAAACAAATGTGTTTTATTATTTGTTCAGAAGTGTAGAAATAGGCTTAGTTTGGATTACCAGTATCTGTTTCCCTTTAGCTTAATACTTACAGATTTATTACAGTTCTATCTATTATGTTAGCAAATTATCAAAATTGGAGAGTTTTTGACTAATATTAAAATTTTCTCTTTAAAGTTTAAATCTAAAATTTTTACTTTTTCTTTCAGGTCAGTTGCTTTTTGGAAGTCAGGAAGAAATTAAGAATTATTTTGTCTTTTACCACTTAATCATAAATACTTGTAGTATTAGATTTTTTTAGTATAGTTTTTAAAATATATTTATATTTAAGCTTTATCTTATGATTTATTCAACATACCACTCTGAGCTTTGTTTTTTCTACTGCTATTTGTAAGTATTCTGTTAATTTTGCATTTCCTGATATGCCTTGTTTCTAAAAGGAACAGACCTTTTGTTTACCACACATGAAATCATTATTATTAATAGTTTATCTCCATCATTGCTTCACTCATCATTGCCTTGGTTACATTTTTTGCTGTAAGATTTTTTCACACTATTTAGTCTCTTTTTCATTTATTAATTGCGCTCATCCAGCTCTTCTGAGTGGACTTTACACACTTGGAATGACTGAATCCTGTCAGTAAGGTGGGTTTCAGTCATGTGGAAAGAAGAGCTTCTTATTGAAATGCTGTCCCCTTACTGCTTTTCTTACTGTAGTGTGAATGATAGGAGTTTTATTTATCTTGGGAATGGTGGCCGTGGGCAAGAGTTGTTTGTTTTTGTGTAGAAACTTGTAGAAAGATAAATGGACCAACAAAATGAATTGTCATTTTTCAGAGAAAGAAATATAACTAGCTGATAAGTACATGAAGAAATGCTTGATTTTTCTTCTAATAACAACACAAATTAAAACAGTAGGGAGATGTTAGGTTTATTAGGTTGGGAATATTAAAACATTTGATAATGATCAGGGTTAGTGAGGAAGTGTAGAATAGGTACTTTTATAACTATGGGGAGTATAATCTTTTTGGAAGGCAGTTTGTAGTAGCAATTAATTTTAATCATTGATCTAGCATATTTTCCTCAGAAAAATATATTCATATATATCCTATGGGTATAATTGGACACATATACATACTATGGAAATATAGTCACTGAAGCATTATTTGCAATAGTGAAAGACTGGAAACAACCAAAATAAATTACGACAAAGCCACAAAATGAAATACCACGCAACTATTAAGAAGAATAAGGTAATTTCTTCTGTGTTGACAGGGGAAAGTTTTTAAAGATATATTGTTAAGTGGAAAATAAGTTGCAGAATTATGTATAGCATGATCCTATTTATGTTAAAAGAAATTTATAAAAGCTCTTTTATGTTAAAAGAAATTTATAAAATTTTTATAAATAAAAATTTATTTATATTCTGAACATTTCAGGAAGGGCTCATAACTAACTATTAAGTGATTGCTCCTTGGGATTGAGATGTGATAATCAAGGTTAATAAAGTGACTTTATTTTTCTGTTTAATTTTAAAATTTAGTATATATGTTATTTTTTCTATAAAAAAAAATCTTGTTACTGAAAACATTAAATGCCTTATATAACTTGCAGATGGTTTTAATGGATAAGAGAAACGTGAAATTTCTAGTTTAATTGGGGATCCATTCAATAAGGAAACCTATATGTCCTTTCTAGAAATTAATTTTTAGTTTTGAGAGTGTTGTAAGGAGTTTAATTAGATGACTTCTTGGGAAGTTTTTGTTAATCTGCATTTTATCTTCTTGGTTGTAAGATTTTTTTCATAGGTCAACACTGGCCTTTGAAGATTCTTTTCTTTCTTTTTTTTTTTTTTTATTAAATGATAGCTATATACATTAATGCAAACATGGGGTACAGTGTAGTGTTTTCATATACAATTTGAAATACTTTCATCAAGCTGGTTAACATAGACATCATGCCATTTGCTTAGTCATTGTGTCAAAACATTCATCTTCTAGTTCTAGAAAAGTTCACTTGTACCCTTATTAGACAGACCATATAGGTGATCTTTCCAGTTACCCTCCCACCGCCCAGCTGCCCTTCTCCCCTCCCCTCCCTCACCCCCTCCCCTTAAGATTATTTTCATAAGATCACTTGGTACAACTTGGTAACAGTGAAAGCCCAGATAACCCCCACTGAGGAATTTAAATGAATTTCTATAATTAATCAGTAAGGAGAACAAAAATTAGAGCAATAGAAAACAAAATGATAGAGAGTGATTATTAGTGAAGTAGAAAAAAAGGTGTACAGAGAGACCCGGTGATACGATTATTTTCAGGTTTTGCTAGTAGAAACAATGGGGCAAAATAGGGAATGTTCAATCAAAGAGTATATTTTATTTAAAATTTTGCTAGATATTGTCAAATTATTTTATCCAGGAAGATTCTATTTAAGTCTGGGATGAGACCAAGCAATTTGTATTTTTAACGAGTTCCCTAGGTGATTTTGATGCAGCTAAATTTGAGAACTAATACAAAATAAGAAAAATGACAACATTTCTTATGCTATTGTACGTGAAAAGTTCAGGCAATTCTAGATACCCAGAGAAGAGTAAAAAGCCTTTTCAGTAACTGAGCAGTACGAGTGTATCTGTCTAGAGCAGTGGTTGCTAGGTTTAGTCCCTCTGTAGTGAAGTAAGTACACTAATATTTATCTGGAATATTTTGTGTCTTTGATAGGTAATGTAGGGAAAGGAACATAAGACTTGTAGGGAGCTTAGTTTGAACACTTCCCGTTTACTGTGCAATATTAGACAAATTAATCAATTTAGAATTTTTCTTTATATAATGATAATATTTACTATCTATGTTCCAGGTTTGTTGCAGAGATTAGAGGGAGTGATACAACATTTATCAAATACCTCCTTTGTTTTCTGGTAGTATTTTGTGGTGGTATTTCTGGATATCTCTGTCATGGCACTTTGCCATTTAGTTGTGATTGGTGAGTCACCTAGTCATCTCCCCATTATATTGATTGGGACCACATCTTGTGGGTTTGCATTCCCAGTACCTAGTGCAGGCCTGAGAACTGGTGGATTACTCTGTTTCTTAAATGAATGATGTAGGTTAAGCACTATGCAGATAGATTTTCTATTCTAATTTTCATGATTATCCTAAGAGATAAGTATTATTTTTTCCACTTTACCACCAGGGAGCTTGCATAACTTATTTAGGATAGCACAATATGGCGTACCTCAAACTGAAAACTCTGTATGTGTGATTTGAAACTAAATAAAAATCTGTATTTTTTCTGTCACTTTACTTTGCTGAGATAATGATATAAGGCATTTTGGAAATTGTGAAATGTTTTTCAAGGATAAGATTACTTTTGTTATTTTAGTAATATAATTTTAAAGATTAACATGGTGACACGGACATTTCTTCTGTATCTACTCAATATTTTCTTTTAGTTTAGCTTTCCTGAATACATGATACAGTTAAGTCTACCTTGCCTGTAAAAATGTAAGTGGTCATTTCCTCCTGTAAATGATTTTCTCCATATTTCTCTTCCTTCAAATTCTGTCTGTGCCTTTCCTTCGGTAAACTTTTTGATGTCTGTAAACATATGGGTTGAAGATAGTTTACAGTAGTTACAACAGGATTTTGACATCATTGGAAATTTCATTAACCAGCAGAAGTAGTGTTTATCTTCTTATCTATTCCTTATTTCCCTCTTTCATTAAGAGCCACACGTAGACTTCTGCAGGGCATAGGTCACTGATTCAGATGTCTTCACATGTCAGTCCTGGCTATTGGATATCTTTTATTTTGTAAAACGTGGCCACATTGCTTAAGGGTTGTGGAAATAATAGGGAAAATCCTACATCACAAATTTTATGTTGCTTTTAAAGGGGCTTTTTAAATTTGAAAAGTAGATTATTAGGTTGTTTTTAATATTTAATCATAAGGAGAGTTTGAGAGAAACAGGAAAATGTCCCTACCCTCTGTCTTTTATGTCATCATAAAATTTACAAAGTTACAAAACAGAATAGCACATACCAGGAAGTGTGGCAATAGGAAGAAGTATGTGGTTTTACTCATTTTAGTTGAACAAAGGAATTTTCCAGCAATTTCATTTTTTTTTCTTCGAGATAGAGTCTCATTTTGTTACCCTTGGTAGAGTGCTGAAGTGTCATAGCTCACAGCAACCTCTAACTTTTGGGCTCAAGCAGTTCTCTTGCCTCAGCCTCC